GCGTGAGCGCTGCGTTGAGCGACACCCGTACGATGTGACTTAGCAATCTTCTGTGCAAATCCCCTCTGGACGGTAGCAAAGGACCTTTGCACAGAGATCTTTTCGGCGGCCTTCGCCCAGGAACTCGCGCCGTACAAGATGGTCGGTTCTACGACCGCGGTATATATCGTCCTGATGATCTCCGAATTCAGGCCCCACTCCACCCGAGCCATCGTTGACAGTTTCCTATACAGGCCAGTCGCCTTACGACATGCGTAGGCAATGTGGCTATTGAAAGTTAGTTTACTGTCCACGATGACCCCGAGGATCTTGAGTTCGGTAACCATCGAGATGTCAACCCCGCCCAGCTGTACAAATGGAGTGTCATACTTAAGCTTGCGCGTGACGACCATGGCCTGAGTTTTTTCGGCGGAGAAGCGCAGCTTATTCATGACACCCCACTCCCGCGCTACAGCCAGGGCGGCATTGGCATCCCGCTGGATATCGAGTGCCGTGTGCCCGGAGAACACCAACACGATATCATCCGCAAACGCTTGCACGTACGCGCCCAGCCTATCCAGGTTATCCAGGAGGGGGTCCAGCAGCATGTTCCAAAACAGGGGTCCACCTATGGAGCCTTGGACACAGCCTTTGGTCTGTGGTTTCCGCACGGTCCTTCCCGCGTAGTGCACGGCGACGCTTCGGTCTCTGAAGTAATCCTCAACAAGACGCCTTAGGTTTACGGGAATACCTTTCTCTATCATTCTACACTTTATGGCCGGCCACCACGCGTTGTCAAACGCCCCCTCGATGTCGAGAGAGACCATGAGGGCGGTCTCTTTCCTGGAAAGAACACCTCTGACGTGCTGCATCAGGTCATACAGCGTGTCCTCCGTGCTCCGCTGCGGTGTGAAGCCGTACTGCCTTGCATTGGACTTGGGCAAGACGTGCCATCGGATTCGACGACACAGAATTTTCTCGAAGATCTTGCCCAAGACGGAAAGGAGTCCAATGGGGCGGTACGACTTTGCGCGGGCATAGTCTGGACGAGCCGGTTTCCTGAGCACCACGACAGAAGCCTCCTTCCACGGCGCTGGGAAGCACGCCAGGTCAAGACATCGGTTCAAAATGGTCAGGAACAGCTGTTCGCCCGCGCATATGGCGTGCCAGCATATGTCGCTGGTGAATCCATCCTGACCCGGTGCCTTTTTGGGGTTGAAGCTGCGCAGCGTCCGAACCAGTTCACCCCGGGTGATCGGGGGATCATCGGTATCATCAGGTAAGCGTATGCCGACCAGGTCCGCTCGGCTTCGGACGACGGCATGGACTTCAGAGTCTGTACCGTCGTCGTCTTCGGCGAAGAATGTCCTGGCCAGCAACGCCACCGACTGCTCCGGGCTCTGCACAACTCCTCCCTCCACGAGAAGCTGGTCCTCGCGGTGACCCGACGCTCTCCTCAGTACCCGGTAGATACCATCCCACATAGACTCCCGCTCTTGCACCGAGGTAAAAGCCTTCCATCCCTCCGTTTGAGCGTTGACAACCCTCCGTTCATACTCCGCCTTGGCTATCAGGTATTCGTCAACCACACATTCTCTGCGACGCGGCGCCGCACATCGGATCCTGCGGCGTTTCGTGTTAACATCACGACGCAGCCTTTCAAGCTCATCGTTCCACCAAGGAAAGCGTTTTTTTACGTTTGGGGGGTTTTGGGGGGGGTATGGCTTTAGTGCACGCCTCCTCCACGCACTCTATGTACTGGGTTACCGCCGTTTCTAGTTGGTTTCGGTCGGTAACCCTTTCAATGGCCTCCGGGGTGAGGCCCCTTTCTGCCAACCCTCTACGCATTTCCTCGGCGAAACGACCCCATTCAGCCTTCCGGGTGTTGAAACGTCGAGTAGTCCACCGAGCGTTGCCCCCAGGCGGAACCCTGAGACCCAGAACCACCCGTATTGCTCTGTGATCCGAGCTGGTCACGGAATCGTCCACTTTCCACTCACGGACGCTTCTCAACAACCCGTGGGTACAGACGGTAACATCGACATGACTCGTGTACCTCCTGCCCCCACGGATCGTATCGAAGGTGGGGACGTCTCCTCTGTTCAATACGTGCAGCTCCAGGTCATCAAAGAACCCCCTGAGGGTCTCGCCCCTTGTGTCCTCCTCGAC